CTTCCCAGTATTGACTTCAGACTCTCCCATCTGCCCAAACAAACTACTAGTCCTCTGGTTTACCAGAAGCAGTTTCTGGATATGAGAGAATCCTATCCGGATCATTTATTCTTATACACGGATGGTTCATCGTGCAGCGACGCGGTGGCATGTGGTTTTTACTGTATCAGGGCCACCAAATCATTTCGGCTTCACTCCAAATGCAGTATTTTCACTGCCGAAATGTGTGCAATCTTTGAGGCCCTAAAATACATTGAATCAGCGACGTTGCGGCGAGTAGTTATCTGTTCCGATTCTCTCAGCTCTCTTCAAGCTGTCTCCCGTCCTTCGTCAGACTACCTGACTTTATCCGTTCAAAGCCTGATTCATCGTCTTCTGTCCCGCCGCTATGACCTGGTACTTAGTTGGGTCCCAGGCCACGTGAGTATCAGAGGGAACGAACTGGCCGACCAGGCGGCGAAATCAGCGACTCGTAAAACTCGTATCGACATCCCTTCTGTGCCATTGTCCGATGTTCAGGCTTTCTTGAAACGATCCGTGCTTAGAGCGTGGCAAACAGAGTGGCACAATAGCACTTTCAAACTAAGTGCGATAAAGAATTCTGTGTATCCCTGGCGCTCCTCATCACGGTCCTGTAGGCGCGAGGAAGTTATTTTAACCCGTCTTCGTATCGGACACTGCCATTTCTCTCACGGTTTCATTCTTCGAAATGAAACTCCCCCCATCTGTGACTCGTGCCAGACTGTTCTTTCCGTGGAACACGTCCTGCTGTACTGTAGGAAATTTGTTGGCAGTCGACGAAGACATGACCTGGGCAACTCGCTACAAGTGGTGCTCGGGGATGACGATTCTGCGCTCTCAAAACTTTTTTGTTTTTTGAGAGAAAGCAGAATATATAATTTTATTTGAAAGAACAATGTTTTATGTTGTTTTTTGGCCCCTTTACAGCCAATTTTACGTTTTAAGATAAATTTTACGCGCCCTTTTTCTATTTTCCTTCTGCCATTTCTACATGTATACTTGATGCAGAATTCGAGCCTCCTTTTTAGCCCATGTACATGCTTTTAAACAGTGAGTAAGTTACATATGCAACACTGAA